AAATAGGATCTGAATATGACTAATGTTAACCCATTGGCTATGTTAGCTGCACAATGTAATAAAATTCAATCAATGAATTCAAGTCCACCATTATCACCATCAAAAACAAGTTTTTATGCATGGAAAAAATCAATACCAAGTCCATCAATGTATCCAGATCCTGAAATAGCATCATCTTTTACACGAATTAATCCTTATGAACATTCATTATTAAATGGAAATGGACATTTAAAAGAAAACTCATCAACACCATCGTCATCCGCTTGGGCAGATATTCATCATCATCATCATCATTCATGGTTTACAACCAATCAAACATCACCTAATTTAAATCACAATGAACAACAAACACCTCCGCCTTCATCCTTATTTTCTACTGCAGCTAATGTTCAATATCCTTCACATGTTCAATCCGCACATTACAATGATTTTCTTTCCGTTGGTCATCCATATACAGATGCATATCGACATGAATTTCGTTTATTTTATCCACCTATTGTACCATCTCATACACCTTCAACTCAACCAGCAACTATAAATAATAATAATCATAATAATAATAATAATAATAACAATACTAATAATAATTCGAACAGTCCAATAAAAAAACCGAAAACAAGTCGTGCTCAATGTGATTGTCCAAATTGTCGTGAAGCTGATCATTTAGGTTATATTACTGGATCAAATGTACGAAAAAGAAATATACACAGTTGTCATATAGCAGGTTGTGGAAAAGAATATAATAAAACATCACATCTTAAAGCGCATTTACGTTGGCATACAGGTTTATTAATAATAAATAAATTTTATTATTTTAACTAAATTTATTTTATTTTCAACAAGGTGAACGACCATTTGTATGTACTTGGTTATTTTGTGGAAAACGATTTACTCGTAGTGATGAACTTCAACGACATGGGCGAACACATACAGGTATTTAAATTTGACACATCATTATTTACTCATCTTCAGTACATTAAGAAAAAATATGTACTATTTGATTTATTTTATCCACCCACTAAAGACTAATCGTGAGAATACATGATAATTAACTTCGAACGAATACCTACTATTTATACTTGATGTGTATGACATCAATCAAGAGAGATATTTATCATGGAATACGCCCATTTTGTTTCTGATAGAAAATAAAAAAAGAAAAGAAATTTTTTTATATTTAGGTGAAAAAAGATTTGCTTGTCAAATATGTGGAAAACGTTTTATGAGAAGTGATCATCTTAGTAAACATGTAAGTTAATTTATTTATTTAAAATAAAAGATTAATTCTTATTTGATTTCTTTTATTGATTAGATTAAAACTCATACAAACAATAATATTAATGATGAACATCAATCAAGACATGTTGAATCTGATACGCAAGAAAATAATAATCATCATCAAACATATCATCATATGCATCAACAAACATTTATTTCCACTGATATTAAAACTGAACCGAGAATGAGAGATTAAAATAAATATATACATACATATATATATACTCTCAATGAAAAGTTTTCGTTTGTTTTTTTTCTTTGTTGCATGTTCTAGTACCTGTAGTAATGACATTTTGAAATACAAAACATATATAATAATGAAAAATTATAGAAATGAAATGAAATTTATTATGAATAATATAATTATAATGTGAAATAGTTTTAGCAACGATCAATCGTCAACGTTAAAACTAGTCGTATTAAGAAACAATAAATGTAGTTCAAATGAATAGTGAATTTTGGATAGAAAAATTTACTGAGAGTATTGAGAATACGAGCTTTACATCGATGACTGATGACTTATACTTCACGTATTAATGTTTTTCTTTATTTCAATGATTTATATTATTTTGTATTTCATTATTCGTTTCATTTCACATGCATATTTTCTATCAAAGTGTGATATTTATGACAATGAAATTAAATGTCAGTTTGTTAAATTTTATCAATTTTATGGTTCATTATTTCATAAAAAGTATATATACACTTGTATGAATACTTTATTTTACTAATAGATGCTTATTTGATACAGTTATGAAAAATATTGATAGATTATAATTATCGATAATCATCATATGCACCACTGGAATATATTTGTAATACGAATTCACAAACGAAAACCATCTTGAGGGTGTGAGTGCATGTATCTTCTCTTAATTCTCACTCACATCCGCATCCTCAATTTAAAAAAAATGTATGAACGTTTTTAAAAGAAATACTCTAAATAGTTGATATTAACTTCAATTCACAAAATAAACAAAAACAAATATAACTCTGAGACTTATACTATACAGTAATATATGCTAAATATTCATTTTGTATCTTTTTCTAGTATATAATATATATATTCCGTCATCTTTATTCATTCTTCTCTCAATCTATGTTGCATATGCACTGACAACATCGATATATATTATATTTCTTACCATACCTTCTTCAATAGAAGTAAGATATCTATCGTATAAGACACATCAAATAGCTCTTAAGTAAAGTTGAAACGCATCATGATTGCTATTCACACCTTCAGAAGTCATAGAACGAGAATCTTTATTTAAATAAAAATGGTAGTAGTAGTCAAAATGCACAGAATAGAACGCATGTCTAATCGTCAATGTACTTCATTTTAGGTTTTTTTCCGAGAGATTTGCTCTCTTCGTTAGATTGAAGAATAATAATCGCAACCGTTATAGACGTTTTCATCGGAGTTACCACCATAGATATGAACATGATCAGATGAAGTTCAGCAGAAGGATAAACTGTAGAAAAATTATCGCCACCGAGAGTATTGAGAACGAGGCCACTTGGTGGAAGAGTAAATGTCAATTAAAAAGCTTCATTAACCATATTCGAAATCGCAACAAATAAATCTAATGAAGAAATATATAGTTCGATCGAATACAGCGATTTACTCACACTCACACTGTTGATAGTCATATAGTAGAAAATGCCATTCATACCAGTTGTAATAATAAAACTACGATTACTAGAAATACCTATCGATGACTTCCATTAAATGACGTAATCATTTCGATGTTGTATCGTTTGTACTACAGTACTATTTTAATCAATATTTGTAGTAAATCTAGGATATGATAACAATATGGACGATCTATGCTTGCTTGTGCACATTCCCAGCAGCGCTTTGATTCGAAGAATGTTGTTGAATATGATATTTTTAAGAACTAGAAAAACGTAGTGTTGTATTATGTTTCTCATAAAAATCTCATGTTTGCACACGTGGCTGAACTTACCTACTGTACCGTAGAACTATATACGATGAGATTGAATGAAATGAATATCATTACGAATAATAAAATAGATTATTATAAACAAGTGTATTAAAGAGGAAGACATATAAATACTGTCCTTGCGTTTATGTAAAAATAATGAAAAAATACATTACGATTTCGATAACGTACTCAAGCAAGTGTGAAGGAGAGAGTGTGTGTATAAATCTATACGCAAATAAAGCAGATAAAAAAAAGAAAGAAAAAGAAATAACATTGAAATTATATTACTTATGTAGTCAATCACGTGAAATAAAAGTGCGTTTTCGTTTCAATGTAACACCACAAAACGCTTGCACGAGACTAATATCAACGTATTTTTTTGTTTAAAAAAAAATCATTGTTTCGTATTGAGAGAATCAAAACAATTGGTCAATACTGGTTACCTCGTAAAGTATACAATAACGTATAGAGTATAGAACAAGATATTCTAAGAATGCCTATACGACTTCGATGAGTGTGGATGCATTGTGAGTATTTGTGGATAAAGAGAGAAGAATGATACTTACCCACACTCACTTCTGCTCTATTTCATAGTAGTTCAGAATCTCGTTCACATAATAAACTACAAGTAATTGGTAAATTTAAAATCTTATTCATAAGTCAACTTATTATGCCTTTGTTAAGACAATCGAAACAAATAATTCAAAATCAACTATTATATATAAAGTTTTGTACTTATGTTTGTATCTATTAAAGTTTGCTAACCATCCAGTAATTAAACTGATAAAAGCCATTGTAAATATTGATACTAATATTATATATATATAGATTTGAGAATCATTTTCGTTTCATAAACTATCATTTTTCCCTTCTTTTTTCATTTATACATAAAATATTACAAGTGAATAAAGACATTTTATTTACAACAAAGGAAAATAGTTTCGAAAGTTTTCTGGATACATTTCTGGTCTATGACGAAAGAAAATATGTTTCACTTTCAAACAATTTGCACGAGCAGCATCTTCTGTAAAATATTGTGTTGCAAACAACAAAAGTTCATAATTGACATGTAATGTGTGAAGACTAGTTAAACGTGTGTAGAAGTCGAAAAGAAATTGTTCGACGTAATCCAAAGAAGCCCCACCCACATTAAGTATCGTAAGATGAGGAAATTCAATAATCGATGATGTCTGTTCATATTTAGCTATTAGATATGGCAGCTTCTCCTTTTGACCAGTTGTACAATGTACCGATAACTTATTTAATAATGGCAAAGCTTTTGAGATTTGAGCAAAAAACTCATGTTCAAGTGGATACCAAAAAGAACGTGCAACGAAATGACGAACATTCGCGAATAAACGACCACCAGGAAATTTATTAGTAAGCATATGCATGCGTTCGAAAGTAAATGGAAGCGAGTAAATATGACATTGACCATTATTCATTGGAGAATAATCAGTATAACATTCGGCATTATATCCTTTTTCGATGAGCGGACGTAGAATATAATCAGATGTTGGTAGAAATTCTTCTTCTATTATGACTCTATCAGTAATAATATTGAAGATAAATGTATGAAGATCTAACATTTTACTAAGAATATCATTAACTAGATGATTGCCATCAATGAATGAGTTTCGACGATCAACAATTAAAGATAATGTAAGTTTTTCTAATTTTGACATATGACGAAGCAATGGAACAATTTTAGCATCATATTCGATTGTCTGACGAAATGAAATCAATGAGAAACATTTTAAATTAGGCACGATTTCCTAAAAACCAAGTAATCATAGAATTATTTATATAAGTGCAAATCTAATCTCTAGGTAATTATCTATATTTATAACTTTCCTCATATCTTTTTCAAAAGACTTCATCCAAAATATAAGTGTATTTGTACTGTGCCAAGTGATAAAAGTACTTCTTTGTCATTTAAAATAATCTTACCTTATTATTGAAAGCCACCGATGTTTTTCCAATCCAATCAATTTCGACAATAAATGTATGTAATTGACTAAGATGCCCATTAAGTAAACAAATACAATCATTTAAATCATTAAGTCTAACATTTAAACAGCTAATATTTGATGCATAACATGGTCTAGATGGTAAATCAATAAATGCTTTTGCTGAATATGATAAATCACTATACCAACTATAATTCAAATCAATTAAATTCCTAAATATTCGAAAAATATTGGTAAAAACGTTTTTAAACATTTCTAATATATCTTCAGCTATGTTGTCCATATTAATTGTAACAATAAGATGTGTAATTTGATGACTGATAATGTAAACCAATGATGACTCATCTAAAATAATCGAATTATTATTTCTCTTATTTAAAGATTAAGAAAATAGATAACATACCATTGAAAATACGACATGCCATTTCAATTGGAAGATTAACAAGACTTAGTTTATGAAGTCTTGAATAATTTCCAATACGAAGAACACGATCTACTGATAATGAATTAAGAGTAAGACATTCGATATTATGTTAAATTCGTTGTAAAATTAATAAACAGAATCTATCGAGTATTGAATTATCATGTTCATTTGATAATGTTGTTACTAAATTGATAGACTGTGTAAAAGTAGTATCTCGAGCTAATCTATCAAGTTTTTTGTTGACTCCTATGAATGAATACAATACATCCACATTATTAAGTTTGTTTAGAATCTTGAGCAACATCTCGTCGCATAGATCAACGATATTAAGATTTGAAGTGTTCATGTTAAATTGTCAATGACAAATATGTTGAGTACAATCGTTTACATATATATATGTACGGTCATTCTATTTCATATCTGACGTCTTTAACAAAGATTATATTAAATAGTCTGACGATGAATATTGTGACCTTTTCAAAATAGCAAAATTCGTTCATGGAGGAATTAAAACGTATCGTCTACAAGAAAGGAATTATCGATAATAAATAAATCTATTTTAAATAGAAATTTTTAAGATGTCATGCCTAATGTACTTTCATTAATTCCTGGAATTTCTATGTTAAATATTTTCACTCTAAAATATGTTCAACAACCAACTTTAATTAAAGATTTTTTTTCAAAAATTAATATAAATATTATCCCGTTAAGAATTCCGATAATAAACATTAGAAATGTTATTGATATAGTTATTTTTAGTGCTAATGATTGTTTAGAAAATGGAATTAGATGATTTAATACGATATTCAAAAATAACATCAAGAGATAACCTTAAAATGATTAAATCCTTGACAATGAAAGACATTATATGATTAAACTCTAAAACAATTTAAAAAACGATTTTCATCACAAATACATGGAGGTTTTATCATAAAAACATTTTTTATTTTAGATTTTCGGTATATATTAATTGATAAAATTTCAATTGACGAATATTTTTATATATATTATCTTGATTTATATCGATTAAAATATCTTTAAATTAAATGATTTTTTTCTCTTAATATTCCAAAATAATAATTTTTTGAAAATTCAGTAAACAATATATGAAATGATTGTCTAACTGATAATTCAATTCAATTTTGATCAAACAGGATTTTTTAAAAAATTTATTATTATTCTTTCATATCCTTTATTATTAAATGATATTATATAATGAGTAAAGATTAATATTAATTCATATAGATTTATATGCACAATATTTTCCCATATAATCTTCAAGACATAAACAAATAAAATTATTTTTATTTATACGATCATTCTTAAGGTTACATTCATCACTATTTTTACATGGATTAGCAGTTTACATGATCGTTGTTCTAAATAACAGATCATTCAAATATTACCTTATCAACTTTCGATAGACCGATACGTTTCAATATTTGACTACTACCGTCTTATCAATCTTGAGAGTGAATTTTATTTTTTAAATATTTATTTAGCTAACATTGCCTGATATTACTTCAAAGGAATTTTTATTATTTGTCGATTTCTAGGCGGTAGATGGAGCATATAAAGCTGATTCTTAGGTAATTCAATAAAAAAACTGTATAATTTCTACAGAAATGATGTATGAGAAATTGACGTGGATGAATTTGCACTCGTGAAAGAATGTAAGCAAGTACTATGACTTCTTGGTGAGATATTATGTGTTATAAAAGTCGATGCAATATGCGATGAATTTGATCAATAAAATAATCTTAAACAAAATTTTTTTTATTTATTCAGTATATTTCTCTGAATGTAAACTAAAATACAACAAGTATAAATAACAACAAAAGATAATAATTTGACGTAGCTCGTTTTTATCTTGAAAGCGATATTTTGTTGTTCGAGGAACGCAATTTTATTTATCATACGATCGACTTTTTCATCTTGATTCAGTATTTGTTCCTGTTGCATTGTTACTTTTTCTTCTTCATAGATTTGTGCCTGGTTTTGAAGAATCATTTGCTTTTCTTGATCCAGTACTTTATTTTGATACATAGTTAATTTTTTTCATAAGCCAGGTCGATCAATTGGGCACGGAAGCGGCCGGTTCCGTGGCATTCTGAAGATTTCATGGAAGCAGCATTCCCGTTGAACGGATCCGTTAGGTACGGCCCGGAATCGATTCCAAGCTCCGATTCATCGACCTCGGTAGATCCTCGGGACATAATGCTGTATATGTATTCATCATATCATGTTCTCGTTCATTCCTATTAGATACAATTAAAAGATAATCAAATAAATTTTTGTTGTTTCCAAAACTATATTTGACACCTATTTTATTAAATATGTTGATTATAATGTTGAGTTGATCATCATTTATGTTTAAGTTTTCTTTTATATCTTTATATGTACCATTAAGTAAGCAATTAAATAGTTGTTTGTCGAAGTTTTCTTGCAAATATTCAACCTTGAGTTTCTTGCGAAACTCTTTTTTTATTGAACGAACGACTACTCGTATAAGTTCGCTTATGCACGATTGATATTTTCGGTAACTGTTTTCCTTGTACAGATATTCAACTGATTCTTTTAGTTCAATGTTTTCTTCTTCCAGGTACGGAATTTTGTTTAGAAGACGATCGAGCTTTTCATCCTGGTCGAATATTTGTTGTTGCTGCATTATTAGCTTTTCGTCTTGATAATTTTGATTTTGTTGATGAATAGTTAATGAGTTTTGTTGGTCTTCTAATTTATTTTCATATACATATAATATTTCATGTTGCTCAATCAATTTATTTGCGTGCATGTTTATTCTTTCATTTTGATTATCTATTATTAATTTGTGATCTTTTAACTGTTGTTCTAGTAATTTAATTCTTTCATACTTATGTTGATCCGTCTAAATGACAAAGATTATCTTTCATTAAGAAAAATGAATGGACAGTGTCTTACAACAAGTGTATCCATTGTGACGTCTACTTATTTATGAATTTCGTCTTTCGATCACAGATGCACAAAAACTGTAACTGTAACAAATATAATAGAGAATTACATTTTTAGATCACAATGGGCTGTTGGGTGTGGGTGTAAGTATGATCTCAAGAGAGTTGAGACACCAATACACAGACCCATATCACACTCACGTATATAATAATGAAAAGTTATGGAAATGATTTATATATCAGTAACAAAAGTAAAAAAAGAACAATATATATCAGTAACACAAGTAATATATAATAATGGGAAATTATAAAAATAATATTTTGTACATTAATAACACAATAATAATAATAAACAACAACAAAATCAAATTATAATAAAATATTTGTTGTAAAATTTTTCTATTGACATCTTCTAAATTTAAATTTTTGTTGATCATTGTGTCCATTTTGTCGTCCTGATTCAGGATTGTTTGTGTTTGTTGTAGTAAACGTTCGTTTAAAAATTCAATGTCAAATTCTTGTCGTGTTGATTTATCCTTGTATGTTTTTAATTCTGTTGTGAGTTCATCGTTTTTCTCTCGTGCTGCAATTATATCATTTTGATATTGTTCGATTCTTTGATTTGGATAACTAATCGAATCTTTATCATTTTCTCTTTTTTCAATATAAATAACAAAAAAAACTATATTTCATTAAAAAAGAATGGAGTGTCTTACATTTACTGCCATCGTGAGGGTGGTGTGTCCCTTACTTGTTTACACATAATAGATTATGCCTAAAAAATAAAATTATATTTATTTTTATATGTCAAGCACAAGCTTGACGAATAAAATAAAGAGAACAATATCGTACACTTCACCGGACTGAACATTATTTTTCGACTTGACTACACATTCGTTGTGTTCAATATCTTGAGGGTGTGGGTGTGGATGGATGTGAATGATAGTGAAGTGAACAGCCAAACCTATACCCTCGTTCGTATTACCATAGTATTAGACATAACTTAACATTTGAGTTTAGCTTCTACGATTTTCAGGACAGGTGCCTTAAAAGACATGTACTGTAGCAAAAAAATTATAAATCTTTTATTAAACTTACGCCATTATTAGCTGCTAAGAACGAAACCTGTGGATTTTGTAGTTTACCACAGTCACTCACTTTCTCCTTTCGATAGTATGGTAAGCCACTGTGAAACGACCTCAGTACACTAGCTGCACTTGAACTAAAGCAAATCGATAATTCGAAATTGTGTTAGTTAGTGGTTGATGAAGAAGAAACAGCATATTTACTTTATATTCGTTGCTTTAGTTTATATGATCAACATACCAAGTTTTTGACGATCCCCATCGAATTCATCAATAAGAACAAAAAATATTCCCAGCAATATCTAAATATCTAGTTAATCCAGGACCGATAATATAAATAAATACGAAAAATACAAACAGTTTCAGAGATTGAATTAGTTGTAACAGTTCACTTCATTGAAAACTGCATGTCGATAATCATTATTGGCTTTTGCATTCTTTTTCATTAAACCATCACAATATTGTTCAACATCCATATCGTACTGTTGTTTTAATTGTTGGACTTCCATAATTTTAGAGAATGTTAATGATTTACCAGTACCTTGACACAAAAATATGGCGTAGTTTCAAATATCTCATAACACATGATTATTTAAAAGTAATACAAACTCATTTTGATCTCTTCTTTTGATGTCTATTGATACGTATTTATTAGTATCATTATTAATAAACTAAATAAATACGCTGATCGAGAAGAATAAAATCTAATTAATAACTCTAAAAAAAATATTCAAATATACCTGTAGTAGTTATGAATAAATTAAATTCTCCAATAGGTTTCGATCGCTGTAAAACATTGGCGAATAGTACTTTCCCTTCGTCTTCGTGAAACGCTGAGTAAGCTCGTAAACAAACAGATAATATTTGAGCATCAGTCATAAAATTATCTGTAATTTTGGCCAGTGTATTAGCAATAGACACACTGAACTATCTCCAAGTCATAAGGTAAATCACCAGTAAATTAAATATTACATGAATATAAATGATCAATATTTGACATCTGATTTTTATTCCATACAAGCTATAAGTAATCAATATCATTACACTTGTCAGGTTCAACTTGTTGTTATCTTTTATTGGTTAGCTTGAGAGATATTTGTGAGTGAATATATAATATGACCAAATAGTTAACTTAATTCACCAATCAGATGAAACTCAAGAAAAGTTTGTTTTTGTCTATAGACCGTCACGGCATTATCGAAGAAAAAGTTACTTTGTGTAGAGCCAATGAACCCATCAAATTAGCATCCGTAATTTGTCTTGTTGCACATATTACTATCTCATTCGTACAATAAAGAGCATAATGGATTAAATCCGAGTTATTCGGAAATCCTAACAGAGTTTCCGATAGTAATATTTTTCGTTTCGACGTATTCAAAATTTATCGATGATATGATTAAATTAAAATATATTGTACATTAACGATACAGCGTATGATTTGTACATTAGAAGCTCTAACGTTATAACGTAGAACCGCTTTCAATTGCTAATTCTTTGAGTCATTTCTTGTTATTTGTACTGATTTACATCAACCTAGCATAGCATCGTCTGTACCTCTAACATTCAAAGAATGAAACAACATTTGAATCTCATATTCATTGCATGCGCTATTTCTGATCTCATTTGGTGAAACGATCAATCAAGAACAACGAACATTCGCGATGACGTTCTGTTTACTTTAAAAAATGGCTAAACGAATTGATCGTGTTCTTTCTTTATATCGTTTGTATGAGTGAAAAAGCAAATAAAATGAACATCATTTATTTTAACGTTTAATCTTCTTGTAATTAATTACCAATTTCTTGAAAGAACATACATTATTTCATTGAATTACTCCACAAATAAAAAAATGCTGAACACATTCTAGCAAAAATATAGTGGTATTACATATCATTTTCTATAGTTCTTCGAAAAAATTAATCAGACAGTCGACAGTGCCTTTAAATTAAAGAGTATTATCGATAAATGAGGGTGTTAGTGTGAGTTGATGTAATTTTTGAATATAACACATCCACATACTCAATGTCTACCAGATTTTAGTCGTTTAAAATATTATATAAATTGATAATATAATCATGAATAATAATTTTTTATAATAAGAATATAGATAAACACGCATTTCGTTTATTACGTTGAAAAAAACCTTGAATACATCACGTTTTTTTTGAAATCAGTCAAATGATTTTTTTTACATTCACCGTCTCACCTGTCACACTAAAATATTATATTTTAAAATCATCGGTAATTATCTACAACGTGCATATAGGTAGATATGTATCTCCTTGATATCTATCATAAGAAAATTTTATATTTTATGATGATCGAAAAGTATTTTTCATGTGCATATAAGTAAGTATGTATCTCCTTGATACTTGTTATAACAAAAATTTCATATTTTAGAATCATTAGCAATTACTTTGAACTATTATTTTATTTTATTTTATTTTACATGAGTTAAAGCGATACATTTATCGAACAATAAGTAAATAATTCTTCGTATTGATTATTGATTATTAATTATTTTTTAAGTACTTATTCTTTATTTTATTATTTTAGAACATCTAATCGAAGATATTTATACGTCACATTGGAGGTAGAAGAGATAAGACATACGTAAAAAGGGTAATATCTTTACTGTATAGCACAAGAATATGATCGTAAATCATTGTTTCCGGACTTCGAAATGTTCGACCTCGATCGAATGTTAGCGCTGTAGTTAGAAGAAAAACAACACTCATACGTGATCGATTATATCTTTCTTAAGTTTAGATCTAATGGTGTTCAAAATGGATTTCTTCATATGAGATAGGTCAAAACATAATAAAAAGAATCACTCTGATGCAAAATATTTACTACTAGAATAATATAAAAAATCCAATTCTTTTCCCGAGATCAACAATAACCGATTGATAAGAACGCTCAAAAAATCTTGTGGTCATTAGACAAAACCTAACTTGTTTTTATCTCGATGTTGTATTTAACATATAATACTTTCTTTGACATTTGTGTATTTTAGATTTCTCATTTATTTCTTTTATTTACCTATTGATTAATATTTGGGAAATGTCAATGTCGACTTCTAATAATTTATTAGAACCAATGGCTATTGTAGGCATAGCCTGTGAATTTGCAGGCGATATTCATTCGGCGACTGATTTATGGCAAGAATTGCAAGATAATCGTGATGTTAGTAGTGCAACTCCACGTGATCGAGTCCATTTTTGAATCGTATTGTGCACATATGGGATATGTTCGACGCAAGCTGTTTTGGGCTATCCGATGCTGAGGCAGGCAGTATCGATCCATGTCATCGGTTACTCATGTTCAAGTTTGTTCATTTGCTTTACGATGCTGGGTATAGTGTCGATAAAATGAATGGGTCATGAACTTCTGTGCACATCGGACAGTTCTTCACAGATCAAACTTACACAACATTCCGCATGGAGCCTGAACATCGATCCAGATTTCGTGGACCAAATAGTTTCTATTCTCCAGAGAATCTGCTACTAAATTCTATAACTGGAGCCAAATCAGCTGATGGACAAAGTCGCTCGTTTAGTACTGATGCTAATGGTTATGCTAAAGGTAAAGTGTATATTATCATACATCTACTGATATGTTTGCGTGCAGTTTCTAGGTGACAGTCTTGGTCTTATATTGATGAAACGATTAAGTGATGGAGAACGTGATGGTGATCGCATCTATTGTGTTTTTTGGTGATGCATTTAGTAGTCATAATGGAAATGAAGATAAAACAAATTTTGTTGTACCATCTGCTGTTGGACAAATACGTCTACTCACTAATATTTACTCAAGAATAAACTTTGATCCTCAACTTATTTTCTGTATTGAAGCCCATGGTACTGTTACACCTGTAGGTGATCCTATCGAAGCAAATTGTTCAGGTCAGTTTTTTAATCAATCATCTCTTGGTCCTCCATTATTGATTGATTCTGCTAAGAGCAATCTAGGGTACACAGAAGGAACAGCTGGTGTTGCATCACTTATCAAATTTGCCATGTGTATGTATCATCGAACTATACCACCAGACATGTCATTATCGAAGAATATTAACCAACTACAGCATCTATCTTTAATAGACTTATATATGGTCATTACAATGGAAAGCAACAAGAAAATAAATAATATTTCATCTTTATTTTCTTAAGTAAGTTTTGTGCAACCTGATCGTTCTCATTTTCTTAGCAGTTACCAACAACTTTATTGTTTTATTGATTTAGCAAAAACCGCAAATTTCTTCAACGTATCTCTGAACAACTATTTCTTCGAAGAACAATTAGTTTCACAAATTTAGCTATTTTTGTTTTCAATGGTCAATGTTCACAATGATGGGCTACAGACAGACAATTATATGAGAATAAACCTATCTTTAATAAATGGATTAATTTAATTCGCACAGAAATGACAAAAAATTATTAATAATGAATGAGAATAGTGAGAGTGAAATAGAGTACTCACACGTACACCCTGAAGATAATTTCAAAAAACCACATTTTTATTAGTTATAAACATTTTATACTCTTTTAATCTAATAAATATTTATTTTAGTAATAAACGAATGTATGTCGATTCATCGTTCATATTCTTCTAGATGTATACTCTTCAAAGTATCAAAAAAGATGAGTGTGGATAGGTTGTGATAAGAGAAGAAGCATCCACTCTCATCCACACCCTCAAGATGGTAGTTTTGTCGTAAGAGAAGGATGTGACATGAAAAAATTCTTTTAATACATACTGAAGCGTAAGAACTCTATTCGTTATTTTCTCTATCTATATTTTCGTGATTTTCTTCTTTCTAGCTATTACGAAATCAAAAGTCGATACTTGGCACGTTTCATACGAAAATGGTAAGCAACAGTTTATGTTTAATAATAAAATAATAACTAAATTTATATCATCTAGACATATGAAAATACTACCCAGTTCATCAAATCAAACTCAACTGCGATTATTCTAGTATCTTTCATGATGGTCCATTATATCATTGTAGCAATTAATTGTGGCATTCGGAAATTACTAGCAATCGTGCGAGAAGTTAGCGGAAATTTACATACATTGTACCCAAGTTAAACGCAACAGCAAAGTAAACGATGAGAATTAATGCAATAATGAAGCGGTTTATGATTATTTCAGACCGCTTAAGACGTTGTTTCCGATGGTCGGAATAATCGTCCTGGGTATCTGTCTAATAACATGAAATACATGAGTCTTCTTCGACTCCAATGTATTAGTACAACATTTATTGATCTTTTGGTAACTCAAGTACTGATGGATTCATTATCATCTCCGCTTTAGGGATTTGTGATCGCATGGTCGGTAGGAATGCTAGTTGATAAAGCAGTTGATTTCTATATCAACAAGAAATACAAATCTCATGATGCTGTTCGTAATACTGTTCTAGCTGCACAAGACATATATACTTCTCGAATATTTTGTATTTTATTTGCATTAATGGTTATAGTTAAATTAACAATCATTGGCTACATTATGATTAAAGTATAGAACAGTCAAAAAAAACATTTTTTATTTTTTTGTTATTAATTATGTCATCAATAAACATTCTTTAGTTTTTGTTTTTCGAATAAAAGAACAGATGGCATTGAAATTGTTATTTTCATGAAAATATCAACATTTCCTTTCTCAAGAATCGACTATAAATCCTTTTACAATATACTATCATATGAAAAATAATCTTTACTTAAAAATATATTTTATTTTATGAAAACACATACTTTATTTGAAAATATTCAATTTGTCATATCGATGATATGAAAATAATGAGTAATAGCTAAGAGAAATTTCGTAGTATATGAGATACAGAAGAGTATACACAAGCAACCTGATTCACTTATTCATATTTTGATATAGTTATGTCATATAAATTTATTGATTTAGGGTATCATTTGATAAAACAAGTATGTCACTGTACTGATACATTAAACAATAGCACATCAAATTTTCTAATATCAATGATTAAGGAAATGTAATTGATTTCGCAGTGACTTTATGTCAGCAAAATGAAACTTAAGACTGACGAGGGAACATCCCCAACTGAAGGAAAGCTTTGGAGCTCGGACTCCGTGCATAAGGTAGATCCCACTGAGGTATGAAAAACCCCAAAAGGATGAGTGCCCATGGGCCTTCTGTCCAGCGTTATAGACATTTTACTGAAATTTTAGCCTATGATAGGGTATATATAAATAGATCGAATTACGGTATTTCGATCTGAGATTTTGCCCATAGAGAGGTCTATTGGTGACTAGAATACCCTGAAAATTTCAGCTGAAAAGAATGTTTCCTTCTCGAGATATTAAAGTCTCAAAAAATCACCTATATCCTACAAAAGATAATAGATTTTCTTATTTTTGATATTTTAATATCTCGAGAAGGAAACATTCTTTTCAGCTGAAATTTTCAGGGTATTCTAGTCACCAATAGACCTCTCTATGGGCAAAATCTCAGATCGAAATACCGTAATTCGATCTATTTATATATACCCTATCATAGGCTAAAATTTCAGTAAAATGTCTATAACGCTGGACAGAAGGCCCATGGGCACTCATCCTTTTGGGGTTTTTCATACCTCAGTGGGATCTACCTTATGCACGGAGTCCGAGCTCCAAAGCTTTCCTTCAGTTGGGGATGTTCCCTCGTGAGTTATTAATTAAAAATTGAATTCTTTGAATGTTTTTCATAGATAAATCATTTATTAAGTTGGCTGAAGTAGAGCAGAAGAAAAGAAATAAATTAGTTATCATCTGGTTTATATTTATGAATTATATTTGAATCTAATAGGTGGTAGGTTTTAACGTAAAGAAATGCAATTATTAAAAGATTGGTACAAAAAAAATAAATAAATGTTGATACGTGATAAAGTGTGGTAGGAGCGTGGGTGTGGGTGTTGGTATGGGTGCCTTTTCAATATCGCTCAATCACATTCACACTCTCATTCAAAAGATATATCGATTAACAATTAATATTCTCAATGTATGAGTAAAATGTTATTGAATAAATAGAATTAAGTTTGTGAATTAATTTCAACAAGCCAATAAAACACCGACATTGCTGCTCCCTTGATTTGTGACAATAATGTCGGGCTTATTGTCGTTATTAACATCGACCACTACCACATTTCGTGGGTTAGTGCTAGTTGAATAAGTTGCTTGAGTAGTAAATGTACCGTTACCTGCATTGAGGAGAACGCTGACATTGTTACTATTATAGTTCCCAGTAATAATGTCGGGTTTGCCGTCGTTATTAACATCGACAACTACCACATTCAGCGGGAGAGATCCAGTTGAGTACGTTGTTTGTGTAGAAAACGTGCCATTACCTTTGTTGAGGAGAACACCGACGTTGTTACTACCGGAGTTTGCAACAATAATGTCCGGTTTGTTGTCGTTATTAACATCAACTACTGACACACCGTACGGACCACTACCAGTTAAGTAAGTTGTTTGTGAAGTAAAAGTGCCGTTGCCCATATTGAGAAGAACACTGACGTTGTTACTACCAGAGTTCGGAACAATAATGTCTGGTTTGTTGTCGTTATTAACATCGACTACAGCCACGCTGAACGGAGTGGTACCAGTTAAGTAAGTTGTTTGTGAAGTAAATGTACCGTTGCCGGTGTTGAAGAGAACACCGACATTGCTACTACCAGAGTTTGGAACAATAATGTCGGGTTTACTGTCGTTATTGACATCAACCACTTCCACGTCGTAGGGACCGGCGCCCGTAGAGTAAGTTGTTTGGGCAGTAAATGTACCGTTGCCGATGTTGAGGAGAACGCTGACATAGTTACTATTAAGGTTTGTGACAATAATATCGGGGTTTCTGTCGTTATTGATATCGACCACTGCCACACTGTCTGGTTTTGCGCCAGTTGAGTAAGTTGTTTGTGCAGCAAACGTACCATTGCCGGTGTTTAGGAGAACACCGACATTGTTACTATTCACGTTTGTAACAATAATGTCGGGTTTACTGTCGTTATTAACATCAACCACTGTCAAACCGAACGGACCTGTGCTAGTTGCATAGGTTGTTTGTGCTCTATATGTTGTGTTGCATTGAGCTATTGCAAACAAAAATTGTTTTTTTAGTATGTGTACAATATTTCTTTTTACATTCCGTACACTCTTCTCAACAGTTTCTTCAGCTTATAAGGTGTGAGTATTATATTCAACACTTGACTAGGTGCAGATGAACACAAGCCATCAAAAATTAAGCCTGTTTCCAGCCCTCATACAACGTTATCTCATGTTCTATATCTAGATGAAGAATACCGGACAAGTAAAAGCAAGGGTCTTAGATTTGGCCAGTTGGAATAGCCATCACTTAGGCGATTACAAAATATCTAGCATATTACTAACCTGGCATTGTTGATGTTGTTGTTGTCGATGTTGTTGTTGAAGTTGATGTTGTAGTCGTAGTCGGTTCTATTTTGTAGAGATATGTTTAGAATGAGACTACACGATTGGATACGGGTGTACGTCTAATTTCTTACTTCTCCTCCTTCTCTAAATATTATATCTGATATAACTGTGAATAAATTAGGAGAGAAGAATAAATCCTTAGACGGGTTATATTATATTCGTATTTCTACGATCTTTATTTTAATTAGATCTCTGATACAAAACCTCTATACAACGGTGTATTATATTTCAATCTGAATTCAGAGAAAAAGAAGAGACTATATTTCGATTGAAAGTAAGGGGCTACGGGAACTAAGAAATTAGTCTGTTAAATTGACTACTTCAAGTCTGTAACCCAATCTCTTCATTCAGCTGGAATACTAAGGAAACTAGGGAAACCATGAGAAACAACGGAGACTCATAAAATTTAAAGGAATAAAATAGCGTCTTTGATAAATACCAGGGCTTATCTAGAAAATCACAACCTTGAAGAGTTCTTAAAAACCTAGATAATTTCATCAACATCTCTGTTGATATTTCTTTGTTAAATAGACCTTAATCGATACTTTTAGAATGATTTCGTTCTAAATCTACTATCTTCTTACTAACCAGGTGGAAATCGTGTTCCAGCAATAACAATCATAGTAGTAATGTCAGTATCAGTCATCATATGTGCAATTTCATCTGACATATCAATAAATAATTCACAATTAGAAGTTGATTGATGAAAACTGGCTGCTCTACAATAAGTTTCAGCTAAACAAGCCATTTGACACTTCATAATAGTCGACGTAATGATATGAACGAATGGTAAACAAGTTGTATTAGCACATTGAAATTTCAAATCAGTGATTAAAGACATTAGAATTGATCGTGTATCTTCTCCAACCGAATATGTAATAATCACAAATAAAAGCCATAAACAAATTCTCCTTGAAGCCATTACCAAATAAATTGCAAGTTGATGAAATGAATTTAACTGAGAATAAAAGACAAAGAATCTGTTAAACGATAAACACTATTTTTTTTCTTCTTTTTCTCGCTTTTTCTCATTTTTTTTCATCAGTGTAATGGAACACTAGCCATAACTTTTAGTTTATGTTGTAAAAACACATAGCCATTCGAGAAGACGATTTTTCTTTGTTAATATGTTAATTAGAAACAATTATATTCATACTTAGAACATCTATGTTGTATGGAAAATACATAAAGATGAAATTAGATTTGAATAGGAAATAATCAACATTTAGTCGCAAATGAAGTTTGTCTTATAAAAATAAAAATCATTTAATTCATTGTGTTCACATACAAATTAGATATTCATTCAAACTTATCTCATAGATTCTAGAATATATCAGTCAACTGTCGCGCAATTTATGTAAAAATAAAGAAAATAGAATAATACTCCAGATTCAAATGCACTGGATTTAGGGTTTTCCATCGACTCTATATTTCCATAATCCTTCTTTTGCTATTCTGTAATGACATTTCTATTGTTCAGTCTTGATTAATGAGAAAATAGTATGATCTATGATTTAATAGGTAATCGCATTTTACTTCATCAATGTAACAATGACCCAAACAGGTAACGCCCATATAAAAAAAATAGATTTTTTTCACTATTCTATAGTGACGTTTATGATTGTTTATCATAACAACATATTTTAAACCTTCTTTTTCTCGAGGAAAAACATTTATCCACTAAAAAATTGTTTTTCTTTTCTTTTCCTTCGTTTATATGCTGTTATGATATATGATGTATGTAGTAGAAGAAGACGTAGTTAGCTGGACAATTTTTTGATTATTTTTTAAAAGAAACGATAGAAACAGAGAGTTTGTGGAGAGATCTAGGTTTGATGTAATTATAACAAGAAAAAGTGCGTTGCTTTATGAAAGAAGAAAGTGTGTGTTGAAAAAAACAATAATGATAATGTATGCAAACTTTCTGTAGATGGAAAACGGCATTTCCATAATTACATTAGAAAAATTATTAAACAAAGGTGATGACGTCTTTACTTTCTTTTAATATTTGAATGTATCATATATAACTGCAAAATAAATGAGTTTTCTTCAACGTACAAAGATTTATTTAAATTCTTTTAGATTCTAATGACAGTAGAGTATCAATTGACGAATATACTACATCTTAAAATAATGATTTTCATATTAGTTGATAATATAACATTGATTCATGAATTGTTTGTGATGGAATACTAGTTCTAGTGACTTTTTCACATGTTAATTTACATACTTTTTGTAACGGAAAAGAGAAGCCATAGACTTCCAATCGATGTATATAAGTTATGAGAGGAGAAATGGTGTCATTTCTTCGAATAGCAGCGAAACGTTATGTTTTATTGAATAATAACACTAACGGATAAAAATAAATGTATATAGTTGACGCAGCAATATTACAGACCAGAGAGAGCGGAGGATGTTGACGTATGTGGGTTTAGATGAATTCTGGTGTCGATATGGGTGCTACATGAATATAGTATTCACTCTTACGCCCATACACCCACACCCTCATAAGAATGTCTGTCAAAGGGCATCAATATTTGCAGTACATCTACTGTTTTATATTCATCTCTTTCATCAAGTAAAAAGAATGGATAAATAATATGTACTTTTTTTAGTAAGTGTGAGTCATAGATCCTCCAAAAGCAACAAGTAGAGGCAAAAACAAAAAAGTGAATCCATCGTGCACAGAGTTTTTTTTGTGGTAGAAATGCGTTATTCTTTTTCGTTCTGTAATTATTCTTTGATAAAGAAACCGAGTTTTATCGGCGAAGAAATGAAAACGTTTTCACTGTGGGAGAGATAACGTAACGTCTACTCCGTTTCATTATTGACTCACTTAAGTGTTTGAAGATGTAATAGTATATATACGACGTATACCATAAAATAAAAAGGCATCCCTCCAAACTACTACCGACTTACTATTCGAGTCTCTTACTCTCGTCACCAACTTCAAAAGGTATGTGAAGCATAAACTTTGAGATTTGTACGATTTCTATAGTATAGAAAACTAATCGTAAGTGTTGGTTAACTCATATAAAGCTTCAGCTCGCAAAAATATATTACAAAGCATATGCGGGCGGGATATTAGTTCTTATGAGGCTGGGCAAGTAGAGAAATCGTATAAAGTTCATGTAAGATCTTA